GGTAAATTACATTTGTTTGAAAGTGAAACTAGTTTTTTTTCATGTAGGCTGTGTCAGTCATAGCCAGGAAAGGTATGGCAAGCACTTTATAAACAGAAACAAAGTGATTTAACTCCTAAATGGCAGCGAATTGAGCAGTGAAACCTGAGATGCATGACCTACACACCAAAACTGCTTCATTAAGCTAAAGTTGTTTAGGTGACTATAGTGTTCCTTTAAACATTTTGGACTGGATTCTCTTAGCAGAGTAATATGAGGATGGATCTAAACCCTATTGCATGAAACTTGGGTCAAACCTACAAAGGCAGAAAAGAGAGTCAGAGTGTGTTTCCAGTGCTTGGGATTAGTCAGGCTAGCAATGGGACAAAAAAGATAGACAGCCTAAATTGGCTAACTAAAAAGTAAACTGAATAACTAGACAAAGTTTTGGATTATAGAAACACACAAAGATGAAATAGCAAGCCAAAGTCTGGGATAAACAGGAAACACTAAAGAATACCAGAAGGAAACCCCGACAGTAATAGGAAAAACCCTACAGGTCAGTACCATAATTGCAATATCAGAATATGCAAGTATGGCATTGCAAGAATATATAATTACATAGTCACATAGGCAGAAAAGAGACATGTATTTATTAAGGTCTGCCTTTCTCACATCTGTTTTAATCTGTCAATCTAAAAGAAGGTAAAAAAAAAAAAAAACAGTTTGAAGCTCTTTCCAATTTTTCAACAAACTAGGAAAAAAATCCTTCTTGGCAGTCAGATCTCTCCTTGGATCAAAAAAATATATTACATCACAAATTAAAAATGACAAATTACGTTTTTTGCAAGTATTCATCTAGTTGCTCTTTAAACATCTTTACAGACTCTGATAAAACCACCTCTTCAGCAAAGAATTCCACATCCTTATTGATCTTACTGTAAATCCCCTTTCCTTTGCCTTAGACTAAATCTCCTATATTCTAGTTTAAATATGTGACCTTGTGTCCTATGTATAGTCCTGAATGACACAGGAGAACATGAGCCAAAATTAAGAGTCAGAGGCGCCATACAAGGGCGTCCAGCGTCAGCCATGACAACAGGTCGAGAAAGGGTGGATAAATGCAGGGCAGTTGGAGTGCGTTTTAAAAGGATACTATGGGCATCAAAACAACTTTAGCTTAATAAAGCTGTTTTAGACACTGCTGCTTCACTGCTTAATTCTCTTCGATTTAGTAAACCCTTACTTTGCTAAAATAATCCAGCCCTAATCTCAAATGCATTCTGCAATAGCGCAGAGTGTATTTTGTCATTTTTATGATTTTGGATGGAGAGTGAGAGCTGTGATAAATGGACAACTAGTAAATGTTTCAAATTGTTAATTGTAACAACAAAAGGCATTTTCTGTGCCATTTTGTGAGTCATTTCAAATTTATTCTTAAGAGTGAGTTGTTTGAAAAAAAAAAAAAGGGTCCTGTAGTATTTAAGCTTAAAGGACCACTATAGTGCCAGGAAAACATACTCGTTTTCCTGGCACTATAGTGCCCTGAGGGTGCCCCCACCCTCAGAGTCCCCCTACTGCTGGGCTCTGGGGAGAGGAAAGGGGTTAAAACTTACCTTTCTCCAGCGCCGGGCGTGGAGCTCTCCTCCTCCGATCCTCCTCCTCTCCTCCCTTTTGGCTGAATGCGCACGCACGGCAAGAGTTGCGCGCGCTTTCAGCCAGTCTCATAGGAAAGCATTTACAATGCTTTCCTATGGACGCTTGCGTGTTCTCACTGTGATTTTCACAGTGAGAATCACGCAAGCGCCTCTCGCGGCTGTCAATGAGGCAGCCACTAGAGCATTTGAGGGCTGGATTAACCCATTTATAAACATAGCAGTTTCTCTGAAACTGCTATGTTTATAAAAAAATGGGTTAACCCTAGCTGGACCTGGCACCCAGACCACTTCATTAAGCTGAAGTGGTCTGGGTGCCTAGAGTGGTCCTTTAATTATTTAATAAAAAAAAGAAACAATTCTCCAGTATTACTGAGTGTGTACATGACCAAAGGTCTATCTATGTCTGTCATTGCAGCATAAATGAAAAAAAAAGAAGAAAGAAAAGCACTGAACACATTAGTGCATCATTACTGCACATTTTGACTATGTAAACAGCTGATTGGAAGAATAAAAAAAATATTAAAGCATTTTATGTGTTTTATTTTTTGCTTTTTTTATTTTGTATTAATCTTTTTTCCCTCTTGATACAGTTATAACAATACAACATTGATCAGTACAATGTGCATTATATGAATACAGGTAGGTTACATATACATAGGTCATTATGACATTCACTTCGATGAATACAATAAGTAAAATTAATACAATGTCTTAAATAACAAGGTACCCATGTTTTATTTTGTTGAAGACGACCTTAACTGCCCTATATTTAGGCTTCTTTGAACTCTCCCCAGTCTCCTGAGTCGTACCTGTTTGTACCCTTCAATTGGTATACCCTCTGGGTCTCTTTCCAATACACCCTGTTGTCATGGACCTATGCTATCCAGGCCTCCCTGTCATCTTTATGATATTGTTTATACCACCAGATGAGAGGAATATAAAATAACTGATAAATTGAAGAGATTAGAACAATAGTTTAGAAAGAAAAAACATAACAAAAATAGATAAAAATTTGAAAATATACACAAAGCTGCATTTGTACTTGTTAGCTGGGGAAATTAATTCCCCGAGTAGTGAGGGCCCCCTTCCTACTCTGACCTCCTTGTTGCCCCACTCTTTTCCTAGGTGTTGTTCCCCATTGCTGTCCACCTCAATTCCTCCATTTTGTGGAAACTGTCTAGTTTTTGATACCATTCTCTTATGGTTGGTTTAAAACTACAACTGGTTTTGCCGCAGTCAACATAAAGTATAAGAGTGAATGTTTAAATATAGCTGTAGAGATTGATATATGAAAGAAAAGGATTGTCTCCGGGTTAAATGCTAATTTTAGTTCGCAGACAGTTTCCGTAATATTTGCTATATCCCTCCAGAACCTAGAGATTTCTTGGCAGGACCATCAAATGTGTTGGTAATATTTGCTATATCCCTCTAGAACCTAGAGATTTCTGGACAAGACCACCAACCCGTGTCTGTCCCACACCTCCAACATAATGGAGAGTTTTGTGGCAGGAATTTATGTGCGCCTAGAGGTGTCACATACTATTGTGAGATGAATTCGTAATTCATTTCTTGTAGGGGTTTGAAAAAGTGTCATTTCATTGCTTTTGTAAAAATGTGTATCCAATCCCTGTCCCCCATCTGGTTAGTAAACCATTCCTTCCCTGCTTTTGTGAAATGAGGCAGACGACTGTGTCTTTGTGGATGAATTAATTGGTAGCATTGAGATGTCAGTTTCCTAGGAGTGGGTGTAGAGCACATGTTTTCAAACTTGGTTTCAGCCCTTGGTGTCCAACTCTGTAGCTCTATCGATTTAAAAAAATGTTTGACCTGATGGTATTGGAATGTTTTGGAAAGTGTTGGGTTGTTATTTTCCGTCAAATCCGGAAGTGGCACCAACCCTTCGGTTGTCATACTATTGGACAATAGGAAGTAAGCATTCTGTCTTGGGTGGTTGCTAGTTTTCAGAAGCATTCCATTTTTCCCAACTGGAAATAATAGGTTGTGAGAGATCGGGTATCTGGGTGATAATGTTGGTGATAACTCTGGGAGATGTAAAACTTTACTTCACACAAGAGTAGCAGCTATAGTCTGTGGTTAAAGAATCTTCCGTTTGCTAGGAACGGATAGTGTCCACAGTAGGGATTGTAAGAGTTCCTCAATATGGGATTGCTCTATTAATACCCACGATTTCGGGTTTTTAGCGGTGGACAATTCAGTTATTCTTCATTAATGGTAATGAAGAATATTGGTGCAACCCAGACCTCCTCTCTCTTTAGGGCTAGTTAGTATTTGGAAGACAAAAACAACAGTAATGCAAGGCTGCGACAAAATATATCAATGTGGACTACAGATATTATAAAACATATAAATGAGACATAAAAAGAGTGCAAACAGAATAGTTGATATTGTATATAAAATAGTCCAAAAAGATTAGAAGTTGCACTGTGGCAATAAATGTCTTTTAAGGTGCTTTTGATGAAGGGTCTCCTCTCTGTTTAAAGTAGTCTGATTGTTCTCGTTATATGGAAGACATAAGATAAGAGACCAATCATACAGAGTGTAAGGGACAATATATGTGATAAAAAGATAAATATATTCCAGTTACATTTAAATGAGCTATAGCCAGCTCAGGTATAACAAGCGTATAGCAGAATAATCCCCGCTTATGGGATATATGGATGAGTGTCCAGTGGATGGAATGATGTCCGGCTCTCAGGAGAGGGATATATAAAAACAGCTACTAGTGTTCACTGTTTGATAAGATATAACCATTGATAAAAAAAAAGAAAATGTACTTACAAGTATTGTGCAGGCCGACTGCACTATGGTAACAGCGTTGGTGGTATGATCCCCACCTCGGATAAGCTTGTAAGTACGTGATAAAATCGATAACATGCCAGGTAGAAGTAAAAAAGTGTGTAAAAAGATAGTTGGCACAAATAGTCACCAAAACAATCTTTAATTATATAAAATACACAATAATAAAACCATTTATGCGTTTCGCCACTAGGGCTTTTTCAAAATGGGATAACATTAAAAACCTGGCAGGTAGGAGTATATATAGGTACATAATAAATACTCCTACCTATATATACTCCTACCTGACAGATTTTTTATGTTATCCCATTTAGGGGCCCATTTGTCTTTCTGTCACTATAAGAACCCATGGCTATGCATGGCATCTAACACATGGCCTCTGCCAAGGCCCAAAAGTGAAACATTTAGACCATTAACCCTATTAACCCCAGCACATGGTGTTGGAGTGATAATTCCATTAATATATACATCGAACAACAAACGTAAAACAATTAATAAACCCTTGGATATCGGTTTAGTGGGTTGGTGTTTAATCAACCCAACTACCTGTCTCACAAACTCTGTGGGTTATTGCGTATCTGACAGAAGGCTTCTGCTTAAGAGTCTGTGGATTAGGTGCATCCTCGATCATCCAATCTATGGATTCCTTGGTAGTCCTAGGTAGTCCATTCAGGATCCCGTGGGATGACGTTTGGACTTGGTGTAAGGTGAATGTGGCTGTTCTCTTCCTCTCATCTGTCTGCTTCCAACGGGTGCATTGAGGCATTGCCGGTTGTTGTATAGACTCCATAACAGCGTACCAGTCCATTACTTCTATATTGGTTAGGCCTAGTTCTGAGTGTCCATGGCTGAGGAAAGTACTGCTTGTGTGCCCTCATGCTTGCACTCATGGTTGGTAATTAGGGAGAATGGGTATCCCCAGCGGTACTTAATGCCTGCTTGCTGTAGTGCCTTAGTGCTCTCCTGCAACTTAGTGTCATCCAAGATAGGTAAGGTAGTAGCTGTACCGTGGTGTTATTGTAAAGGAGTGCTGTTGAGTCCCTTGAGCATTTCATGATAGTCTCTTTCTCTGTGTAATAATGGACCCAGCATATTACGTCACATGGAGCCTCTTGTGCAAGGCCTTTGGGTCTGATCGATCGGTGTGCTCTATCCAGCAGTATTGGAGTGTCTTTGAAGCACTTTGTTGAACAGAGTTTGTAGGAGAGTTAGTAGGTCTTCAGTGGTATCATGGCAGTCCGGTAAGACTCGTACCGGCGGCCTCTGTTGTCAAGATCTTCCACATTCTTCATGTGTTAATAATTTTAGAATCTGCCATTTCCTGGTGTTATTCCAGTATAAGGATTCTGTCTAACATGAGGTCTCTGTCCTCCTCCAGGTCCCCCACTCTTTTTCTCCACTTGCTGCATGTCTGAGGCCTTGAGATCAGAAATCCTGGATGTGGATGATTGCCCTGAGGGTGTCAAGCTGCGAGGATGGGGGTCTCATGGTAAAGATGGCGCTGCTTGACTGTCGGTGTCGGCCACGAGTATATCCCTAAAAAACTTGGCCAAGTCCCTAGCTTTTTTGCTTGCACCTGGTTCTGTGGGGTCTTTGCCTGATATCATTTCAATAATGATGTGACTTCTGAAGGTAATTAGTTGCACCTGAGCTTTTTATGGGCTTCATAACAAAGGGGGGGAATAAATACACACATGCCAATTTTCTGTTTTCTATTTCTAAGAAATAGTTTTTTGTATATATTTTTCTCATTTCATTTCACCAACTTAGACTATTGTGTTCTGATCCATCACATAAAATTCATATTAATAAAACATTGAACGTAAGGCTGTAATGTCACAAAATAGGTAAAAAGTCAAGGGGGTGAATACTTTTGCAAGGCACTGTACAAGATAAGAAGTTGTAAATCAATATGTCATTCACTGGATGGGGTTGTTTGCCTGACAATACCTGCCTGTACACCATAAGACCTCATGGAGGAATAACGGAAAGAGCAGTTAGTCTGCAGGACTCAACCCAAGAAAACATCACTAGACTTCAAATGATGCACAAACACCCACAGTTGTTAACAGAAAGTAGGCGATACGAAGAGTGTGCAGAAAGAACCAAAGATGTTGTTTTTTACATTGGACTTGAATTTTACTTTTATGATTTTTTTGTATCATGGCTAACTTATTTTTTCTAAAGTTGTGTGCATTGGTTTGCAAATTGAATGTTGTGCTCATTTGTTCCAGCAAATAGATGAGTGAGAAGACAACTAATATGATTACGTGTGTGCTAGAAAAACCCAGAAACTGAAATATGTCCTGAACTGAAATCTGGACTGCCAATAACAGAGTGGTGTTTAAATCTATATATCCAATTATTGCTCTGCAACAATGCAGTTAGCCAGCCAATATATCAAAATATACAGTCGTTTCCTGATACTAGGGATCATACATAAAATATTTAATACCAAAAGGCACTTGATATTACTCCAGTATACAATATTTTTGAAAGTTTTGAGGATTTTTGAAAGTAGGGAATATTCTGAATTTTGCCTATCCAAACCAATGTTCGGCTGAAATTCAGGCATCCTGAAAAATGCTCTGTTTTCATGAAAAATGGTTCAGCCAAGCCGAATTTTCCCACTGTGCACAATTCTATTATAAACTATGTTTTTGCTTTTAAGGCCAGTGAAAAGGAATTGAGCTGACTCTTTATCTGATTTGCCACTTTATGTTTTACAGTCCATGTATACAGTTAACATTTGTCATTTTATCTTTGTGATATTTAGTTAAACATAGCCGTATGTGACATACGATACCCACGTTGCCTCAATTTAAGGGTTTTGGTTGATATTTTCTGAATTAACCTCTTTATTTTGCTGGATTTGGAATTTTTTTCTTTCTAGTCTGCAATTATGTTATCAAATACTCTTTTGAATTGGAGAAAATTGGTTTGTTGCAGTTATTTCCCTGAAGACTATGCATACAATATAGTTCATGTGAAAAGGATTGGTTTAATGCTATATTGCCAACTGGATCTAACCTGCAAACATCTTATCAGATAGTTGTATCTCCATTTTCCCATTATAGTCTATGATGAAATGTGGAGCTACATTTAAGACAGGACATAGATTTGGACTTTTTGTATACTGAATGGCTCTTCAAAGAATAAGCTATTACAAAAGCTACATATTTAACCATAGAAAAACAGTTGTTGGACATAAAATATTTATCAATTAGTCCCTTTACCATAAGGATATAATTGTTGCTGCCTAGTTTGACATTTTGTGTAAGCAGCAATAATCCCACCAGGTCAATTTTAAATAGTAGACAATAAGTCATGGGTTTAAGTGAAAATGGTTAATGTAATATATAATATTTTCAGTCACGCATTCTTCATGACAGAAGAATGGATACCTTGCATGCTGGTAAAATAAACACATATATTAGTACCAGTTTCTGCAGACAGTAATGCATGTTTGACATTGGTTGACCTTGCATTTCACATCTACTATTATTATTTATTATTTTCAGAAAAAGTTACGATGCCTAATGCTTTTAAAGGTGGAAAGGTGGGTTCTAGAATGAGTCAATCACATCTCCAGTCATGTAGGCTTGTGTTTGGATTGAAGTGATGTTTAAAAAGGTATCATAAAGTTCTTGATCCAAAAGTCTGTTTCATAAATTGTGTTTTATATTTGTAGACTATGGCGAAACATTCGATTTTTTCATCATAGTCGTGCTAGGGTAGATTTACTATTAATTCCTTCTGTAGCAAGTAATCAAGAAACAACTTAATTGCATTAGCTTATATCCTTTCATTCTAAATTTGAATACTATAAGAATCATTTGATTGTGAGGAGTTGATAAGGGAATTTTTTTTCTTTTAGGTAATGTGTACTAGAATTTTTTAGTATATGTTTAGATTTATGTACTCCTTTGAGGAAATATATTATTGCATTGCAAGTGAGAAATATTTCACTAAACTATCGATATTTCTGAAAAAAACCCCACAACAACTACATTTTAGTGTAGTGCGGTCCATGAAGTACATGGATATATTTCTCTAAAGGGAGAAAATGGATCAAGATCTCTCCAACTTCACACTATTCATTTTAACCTCCTCCTTGGCCCAAACAGACTTTATTTTGCTACACTGATATTACTATGTGCTGTGCGTTAAGCTTTTGGTTGTCTGAATAGATTGCTAGAACACCATGTACCAGTGTACAGCATTTTCAAATCATGCAGTCTCAAAAGGTCTTCCTTAAATCCAAGATAACTGTGAATTACGAACGTACATTGCAGCTATTACATTACACAACACACTATCAACTTATTCTCGGAACATATTTTCCAGCACAGAGCTTCAATTTTACCAGTAAATTTTCTAATGATATAGCAAGGTAATCCTTGGTGGTCTCATTTAATGGCAACGTCCCCAGTCTGCACAAATGATTGCAGAACTTATCTGAGGTCTCTCATCCATTATGGAATCATTTTTCATAATATAGAGCACTTCTCATGTCAAACAATATAGAAGTATTGCTAAGGGAAAAGTAGTGCTGAGTGCATTCTAGTTTATTTTTTCCACAGAAAAAATAAACTGTTGCTATAACTAATAACTCCAGGGGAATGTAGACAAAGACTACTATTAAACATTTTCTGCCAAAAATGAACGAATATGCTGATTTATTTCAGTGCACTTTAGATGCCCTTAATTAACATATATCTATATATAGATAGATTTAAATTATTATTTTGGACTGTCATTTTTATATATTCAAAACATTGTAGGGCATATGGTATATTTCTTTAGTGAGTTTTCTAGGCCAGTATCCAAACGTTTTGATCAGATAAGAATGCATATTCAGAAACAGTATAAATTGATGACTCAGTTTTGGATTGTGTCTGTTAAATGCCTTTTTAATGTTATGTGATTACCAATTACAATTCATTAATTACCAAAGGCTTTAGGTTTTTTTGGATAGAATAATTTCAACTTGCTAAGTGTTACTCAGCACGTGAAGAAGTACATCAAATATTTTTCAACTAGTATTTTCCCCCCCGAAAAGTAATGAATGGAACTAATATTGTAAAATGCTATTGGGACACGATATAGGTTGAGTTTCATTATTTAACATTAGAAATGATTTTACATTCTTATATATAGATATTATTAATATTATTATTGTTATCATTATAATATTAATATAGTATAAATATATTGTTGGATAACTGAAATACTGACCCAGACTAAAGAAAGACTGAGAATGCCAGTTGATTCTTACATTTTACTTAAATATCGAGGCCACGGCTGGGCAATGGGCATTTTTTAGACCTGTAAGTTCAAGGTGACCTGGATTCTTTATATATAAAAGTGTGTTTTGTGGGGTAGTGGAATAATAAGATCTCTTGTTAGATAATGGCGACTGCCCCTATAAGTATATAGAAAAACTATAAAACCCCAGATTAAAAGATTATGGTAATATCCATAAACCAGACAGGTGGAATGCCAACTTTACCCATTCAAGTAAAGTTCATTGTGATAATAGTACTCAATCAGAGGTATGCTACTAACCACTTTTTATTTAAAGATTTACTCAAGCATGTACAAAATGACTATATGTCTCCGATAGTTGAAGCTAAATTAATACAATTCCTTCCCCCAGACAGCACAAATAATAAAATGTCAAGATCTATACATGATGCGGAAATGTTAATGCATTTATGTGCATTGCAAACAACATTTTCATCAGATGCTGTTTTAGTTATTGTTTCTCTACATTAGAGATATCGAATTAAATTACTGAGCACTATA